ATTCTCGGCGTTTTTTCCAACTTATTAGTAGCGATTTGTATCGAACAGGTTCATTTACAAGATGCTATTCTCTATTCGTTTGCTACTTTAAAGATAGGTCGATCACTACTTAAGAATCGAATTGATTTTAAATCGATTTTTTCGAGGCAGCCATGGGAAAGTTTCAGAAATGCACAAGAACGTTATGATTCATGGAATGGAAACTCTTTCATACGATTGATATGCAACCCATAACCTCAGTCAATTATGACTCTAAGACTAACTCAATCGTTTTCCACACCAGTTCATATCTTCACATGACGTAAACATTTGAAAGGATATCTGATCCACAGAGGAACGGACAATAAATGCTCAGTTTCATTGTCACTTCAACGTTCGTCAGCGTCTAATCGCATTTCACCTTCATACACTAAATTTTCCTCGACGAGTAGGACTGGTTTTGCCATTAGAGCCATTAATTTTAGGGAAATGCAACAACACACAGCTGGTCGAGTTTGTTTCCATTAAGATTACTGTCAGAACCCTTTGTCAGTATCCACTGAAGCGTTCATTTTCCCAAGCATTTCTGTCCAAATTAATAGTCTTTTCGAATTTGCAACTGAAACGGATTCTATCCCCCTCACATCGCCGAAGCTAGATTTGACATTGTAATTTCACAGAAAAAATTGTTCAGTAATCAACCACAGTGTTACTAATGCTATAAGGTCGTCATCGTTTAATTGATGGGACTGAGTTGCATGAAAAGACGTCGGTTGAATGCTGACTGAAGTACGTCATGAAACTGGAAGCATATTCGTTGTAATGTGTAGACTGATAGTGAGTCGCCTCCTGGCTTGAAAGAATACGACGATTTCAGTTGCAAAACAAACAGTTGCCTTGAGATTGATTTCTGATGCTTTAAGGTACTTAACATTAGCTAGATTGACCTTCTCGAGATCAATTCGCCTTGTGTCCTCTCCATTCCAACCAACATATTCCTATTTCCCAGTTCTTTCAAGGTGTTCTCACTTCTAGTTTCCGTGTTTTTCGAATATCATCTCAGTTCATCATCAAATGAAGTTTCACGTAGATTTCGAAGTATCACTCATGGTTGTGCCAGTTAATTAATATGATATTATTATTCACTGTTTGTCCCATTGTTTTCAAATGTTCCTTTTCATTATATGATTTCAATGAATATTAAATGAATTGTTGTCTTACAGTGCTACCGACTATAGACCTCATCCATTTGCACTGCAGTGACTTCACTTAGGATCATTACAAATATGATTTTTCATATCAGTGATTCGAACACTTATTGTTTGCAGTCACTCGATACACCTTCTTCAGTCTTGGTTTTGTCTTATTTCTGGAATGGGAAACACTTCAGCGAAATTGATTTGTTTGCAGTGCTTCGAGTCTTTTGTTATTTGTGATGTTTATTTTTAAGCTGAATTCAAAAGTTTTATGCCTTTAGAATTGGGCGCTAAGGTCATATGGATGTATCGAGAATACGTAAATCAGTTACATTTGTTCCTCAATGCAGTTTGGTACTAAAGGTAGACTTTTTTCAAGAATAGAGACTATACGTGTTTCACTGAAACGATCATATAATCATTCAAAGCGCAAATTGTTCTTTTGAAATCTTTTAAAACAAATTTCAAAGAAGGAGAATGAGCGAAGCTCAGATGACATGAATGGTCACTGAACATGCAAAAGCTTCCATTTAAGTTCCGCACGTATTCCATCCCGAACAAATATCACGAAACAATTTTCCTGGAGTTTTGACTGTCTTGAACGGCATTTCTCGATTTATGCCAATCGACTAGATGTTACCACCACCTCAATGATGACCAGAATTAAGCAGTGTGCATTCCAAAAATTATCTAATTGTTCACTTCCGGAACATTCATTTACATGAATGCACCTATCAAACAATTGCATTATAGTTGCTTTCTTTGATCCGCAACATTCGATACAGCCTTCAATTTTTTGCCACTGCATCTCAAACCGTTTGATAGTTCGCTTACTCTTCAGTTGAAAAATGACCGTTACGAGTGCAACCAGTTGAAAAATGCTTCATCTTCAATAATTATATGTTCGAAGATAAACATTATTCGGCTCCATAAAGTCGCCTTTTCGTGTTCTGCCTATACTTCCGGACACTTCAGTTCAATCCATCACTATGT